GCCGCCCGCGGGCGCTGAGGGAGGCGGGCAGGGCGGGCGGGAGGCAGCGGGGCCGCCGCCGGCGCCATGCTGCCCGGCGTGGGGGTGTTCGGCACGGGGCTCACGGCGCGCGTGATCGTGCCGCTGCTGAAGGCCGAGGGCTTCGCCGTGAAGGCGCTGTGGGGCCGCACGGCCGAGGAGGCGGAGGAGCTCGCCAAGGAGATGAGCGTGCCCTTCCACACGAGCCGCATCGACGAGGTGCTGCTGCACCACGACGTGGACCTGGTCTGCATCAACCTGCCGCCGCCGCTCACGCGCCAGGTCGCCGTCAAGACCCTCGGTGAGCCGCTCGCCGCGCTCCCCTTCCCCGTGGGGGACCCTTTCCTTGGCCGTTCTATTTATTTATTTTTGTCATTGATTTGGAGGAAGGGCTCGGGCTGCCGGAGCTGTCGCAGGCTGAGGGTTGGGTGCCTGCGGCCCCCTTGTACCCGTCGCCCTCCCCGCCTCACGTTTGTCCCCCCCACCCACCTTGCTCCTTCTTTCCCCTTTTTTTATTATTATTTATTCCGCACCCCCTGGCGCGGTGTTTGTCCCGGTGTGGAGCTGAACGGCGCTGCCGCAGCCGCCCATGTGCCGCCCCGCTCTCCTGGCCCCACTCCTGTCCCGCCACGGCTTCTCTGGGATGCTCCCGCCAGGATCAGGCCTGACGCGTAGCCCAAACCCGGGCCCAGGGGACGGCTCTCACCAGCCTCATGTTTAAAAATGGAAAAAGGGAGAAAATAATCCCGAGCGAGTGCATTTGCCCAGCGGTTCCCTCGTGGTTCCCTGATGCTTAACGCAGGGAATTACTCACCTGAGAGTCTCGGATGGAGGCTGGGATCTTCCCTGGGTGCCTTCCCACTGCAGCTGGAGCGCTGGCACGCAGGGTCGCCAGGTGCAAAGCAGAGCCAGGGGCAGGAAATGGTGACAAAAGAGGAAATATTTCACACGAGAGGCTTAATTGGCATCACGCACGAAGGACAGCACTGAAAAAGTAGGCAGAGGTAGGTATAAATGTGCTTTTAATGTGGGGAAAAAGAGGGCCGTAGTCCACTGTCACTGCTGTGGGCATATATCTAGCCTTTGATTTATGCTGGATTTTCGTAGGAGCACCCTCCAGGTTTGCATGAGTGCAAGTTGGATCTTAAATGGGAATCTTAAACGGGAAAATGCCCAAGGCAGGGGGCCACATGGCGGCGGCCGTGGCCGCCTGGGGATGCGCGCGGCGCCTTGTCACGTCCCCTGGGCACATTTGGTCACTGTTCCCACGCTGCTGGCGTCACGGCCGCTTCGTGTTCCCTGCCTTTCAATGGGGAACCTTTGCTTGGGGAGCCCCTGAAGTTCTGCATTCATGACCTGGCTGCAATGTAGGCGCCTGTCTGGAAGCCATGCCCAGTGTTAATGCCTCTGTCTGGAGGTGTTTGTCCTCCAGTTAAGACACCCTGCCTGTTTCTTGGGTATGCTTTTGACTTCTTGTCAAGGTACAACATTTAGGCTGCAAGGTTGCCTCCCTTGCCAAAATGGTGCATCAGTAGATTTGTAATGTGAAAATCTGTATCCCCCAAAATATAGTTTATCGGAGCATTAAAAGACAGTATCCAGGTTATTGGGTTTCACGTAGGCCCAAAGGAATGTGCGTGGTGACAGTTGTGAAAGTTGTGCAGACTTTCGGGATCTAGTTATTTCTGTTTCATACGCCACCCTTCCCTGCAGATGCTGCCCTTGCAAGCTCTCTCCTGCCCTTGGGGGTAGAATCCCTTCATGTTTCGGGCAGACTTGAGGCGTCTCTTGCAAGAACAAAACTGCTGAGATAAGAAAGAGAAGAAAATTGGTGTCGTTTTCAAAGCCCTTCAAGGAATATGATTTGCTTCTCTGAATATTTGCAGATAAGGGAAAAAAAAAACTATTTCTCGATCCTCTACTGAATTTATGAAAGATGCTAATACTGATAAATATATATATATATCTTGAATACGTTACTCCTGACTTGCTGATGCAATTTGCTAGCAATAGACTAAAAAGAAAAGATGTTCTCCAAATCCTGATTGATGCTGTACCATTCTCAGTTTTCTTTTACTCCTACTTAATTTGTTTTCTTCTCATTTCCCAACATGGCAATATTCATGTGTTGCAGTTTTAGTAAAACATGTAAGAAAACTCATAGAATGATTATTAACTAGGGATTGAACATATGACAAGTCATAACATGCAATATATGATGGTTATTTCATAGGATATCATTTAAAAGATCATTATTTATGTGAATAACTTTTGGACTGTAAACAACTCTTCCCCCAATTTTTTTCAGAGTTAAAATTTTACTGTTTGATTTTCTGGAGTTCATGCATTGGATCTATAAAAATGTCAATTCTTGTGCACGTGCACAAACACAGACGAGTCACTAGAGCAGCAGCTCCCAGGCTTTTGAGACGGACATCTCAGGGCTGTCACCTCCTCACAGTCCTTCCCGTGCCCCGTGGCCTGGGGCCTGCTGTGCCAGGGAGTGATTATTTTGTTTCAGCCCCAAGATTTTCTGTTTCGAGGCGGGGAGTGTAATCGCATTCATTAAGTGGGGATTTCAAAATCCCCTGGTAAGCCCTGGCAATGTGTAGGCTGAAGAAAGCACAAACTGGAAAATCATCCGTTTCTGTGATAAGGAAGGGATATGGGTCTTAACTTTTTTTTTTTTTTTTTTTTTTTTTTTTTTTTTTTTTTTTTTTTTTTTTTTTTTTTTTTTTTTTTTTTTTTTAGGTTTCATATAAGAAGCGCTGTATGGCATCTAGTGGTAGGACATGGACAGTGATACGAGAGGTTTTACTAATAAAATGAGTCTTCAGGGAGAGTAAAAATGGTGATGTGCTGCATTGCAGCAGGAAAGGTTGAGAGAGAGATAAGTCATTCATTAGTTAGTAAACTCTAGTCTTGTTTCTGTATCAAGAGAGGTATATCTGACCTGAGAAGAGTCAGGACCAAACTTTCTTACCTGTGTTTTTTTTTTTTTCTCCCCAAATATTTTGCTTAGTTTGGAATTACTTCATTCTTAAAGAGTAAAAGCATAAGGAAGCTGTTGGCAGTATTTCCACCTCCCGCGGGGAGCTGTGTTTACACACAGAATTTGCAGCACTTCTCGCATCCTGGCCCGTTTCTCGTGCAGCCTGTGGACACAGAGATGGGGTGAAGCAGGTGTCCTTGCAGCTGTGTTTAACTCAGGCACTGCAATGGGAAAAAAATCAGTTGCGTTGTTTTAACTAGTGTGTCCAAAGCGTAGATGTATTGCTTTTGTAAACTTTTTTTTTTTTTTTTTTTGCACGGTGGCCCATTGACAGCTCTTAAAACACAGATGTGTGAACAGCATCTTCAGCTTGGGAAGTCCCCAAACTGTAGCTTCCTGGAAGCTGGGAGGGACAAAAAGTGAGAAACAAAGGTTTAAACTTGCCCCGTTGCCTTTTCCTCTAAGCATCTGTCCCATGTGTCTGTTAGAAACGCGCTCGTGAGAGGTGTCAGACTCAGGACAACAGTTCTTATGAGCTAAGCTCATCTTGGGGAAACATCTGGGGCAGAGCAAGTTCGAGGGAGAGTTTGAAGCCAGGTTGGCTTGGGCAGGTTCCAAAAGCAGGAATGAGCCCCAGGGCTGATTGGAGATACCTGTGAAGTGCAGGGGTGGCCTCCCTTTCTGTGTGGAAGGAATCAAACTCCCTATCTGCATTTCCCATATTGGGCTAATCATCCCTTTCTGTTTCCCACCTCTGGCCTACCCAGCTTGCTTCGGAGTCCCTGTTTATTGCTGTGAGAGTTGTGGCTGCCGTGCCGGCTGCTTGGCTAGTGCAAAGCTAATGTCCCAACTCCTTTGCCGCTTGTGGGTCGGGAAAAATCAGTGGCAAAGTATTTGGGTGAGCATAGAAATGGTAAGACGAGTGTCTTCTCTCCAGCGAGCTGGAGAGCTTGGTATACTTGCTAGAAGTGGCCTGCTTTTGCACTGACCACGCACATCAGCAAAGAAACTATCCCAAGCCTTGTCCGGAGCAAGAGACACGCTTGCTTGCAGAGACCAAGTACGTTCCCTGAATTCTTGCTTGTCTTCAGCATCGCAGGAATTACTAGTGCAGACAGCACAATGCGAAGCTCTACCTAGTTCACAGCTGTCAACATGTTCATTTGCACTGTATTGTTTCTCAGTTCAATTAAATATGGCATTCCTCAGATGCTGACTGAAATTTTTGCCCTGTGTGATCAAGTAGCTGCCGCATAACGTGAAGGTGCAGGTGATGCTGAGAAAACCTTGATAATATTTCATCTCTAAGTGGAAGGGAAGGTTGCAGTTGCTTCCATGTTTCTGAATCTGTTGGTGCTTTAGTCAAGCAACTAAAGGGAGCTTGTCCATGAAGTCCATAAATAACGAAGTCCATAAACGTTTCTGGGAAGCAAATATTTTGCTTTTGAGCAAAACCAAGTGCCAGATGTTTTTGGAACTTGTCTCTGGAGATGTTGCCTTCAGCTCTATTTGCAGTATTTTTACTTGCTCTCTGAATTAATAGGTGGTATAGGTGCCTTGAGCATGCACTAAATATTCACAGTACACACAGACACACACAGTACATGGAGACACAACCATGTCTACGTAGTGTATTCTTTAAAGTTTATACTGAGGTAGCACATGATTAGAGTCCTTTCTGCTTGAAGCGTTATGCAGACAGAATATGACTTGCCCAGCTCTTCAGAGTTTGTTTCTCCTAAGGAACACGTACATTTCTTTGCTGACTGGTGCTTCTTCCACACTTGATTGTGGTCCTGAGAGAACATCTTTATTTAGGGAGGCGCCCAAAGAACTTTATTGCTGAGAGCCTTGCTTCCCACATCTTACCAGGAAGCCCTGGCATCACATAGACTTGCGGTACAGGCCTGCTGTGTGGAAGATGTTTATAAGGTAAAGCACTTTGGGGATCTGCTCTAAAGTGGGAGGGAGCTGCAGAGAAGTGGTTCATGTATCTGATATAATCTATAATTAATATGTACCTTTTCTTGCACCTGTGGAAACCATTAAATGGCTACAGGGTTGTAACAGGGGCTAGAATTTGGGCCAGAGTTTGTAAAGTAGTTTAGGATCCTCTGGGATAAATTGTTCTGCTAAGGTAAAACATGATCATGACCATTTATTATTAATAGCAATGTAATAGTTGTCCTGCAATATTGAGCTTAAATATGTCCTAACAGCAGTGACAGCACAACAAGCACTTGTGCTCGGAAGGTGGATGACTTTGCAGCATATTAAATGTAAGGTATGTGAGTTATGGCCAGTCTTTT